AGACGGAAGCGGATGCTGACATCCAGAAAAGGATTTCAAATATTATATTTTCATATACAAATATGAGTCAATATACTCAATGAGTATATACAACTTTTACTTTATTTTTATTTATTCGACAGTCATCTGAAACGGTGGCAAAAACTGTCTGGTTTTAATCTAATATTGTCAATTATTACATTTTAAAACCACACTGAGAACATCACTTATGCTTTGATAAACACTTAACTTGATTATTGTTTTTTAATAGTTCTTGTTGAGGTTTGTAAATTGCAAACAAGTGATAAGTAATCATATATGTTTTTAATATTCAACTGAAACCTATGGTCTTTTAAAAAATAAATTAATAATGGCTTAGGGAAGGTATAAGCCTATAAATTTCAGAGCCCCAATTTTATTAATGTTCTTAAATGATGTCAGAATATTATTATGGCTTTAAATTTTTTAATATTAATTTAATTTAAACTTCTATAAGTAACTAAAGGTAAGGATACCAGATATTAAGTGTTAAATATGATATATTTTTTAAAATAATTAAGCTGCCACTAGTAGGGGATGCCATTTAAATAATATGATTGATTTCAGCTAATCTATAAGTCGATTTTGACTTCCAATGCCTTAACTTATATGCATAGCATATCTTTTCTTTTAACAACATCTGTTTTTATGTGGGTTCGCTGGTATTTTCAAATGGCTGGTAATATTGTCAAAGCGAACTGCAAATCACAGGTCTGACAAACTTGTTTCGGTTGTAAACGACAGACGACACAAAAGCAACAAATCCGAGAAATAAAATTAGTGAGTATTATTTTTAAGAGTGGGCCGACGACAAGTCAACGGAAACGTGTGGGTGGCACTCTGTCGTCTCTGGTTTTGGCCGTGTTTTTTCTGCTTTTTTGTTCAGATGTTGCTGTTGTTTTTACTGCTTTTGCTTTGTTGGCCAAGCTGCCTGTGCTGGGCAAATTACTTTTTAATTGAACACACACGTGGGCAGCTGCTTGGCCAAGTACCGACACTCGAACAATTAACCAAATCGCAGACAAAGTAACCCATAACTGACAGCAATGCCTGCAAGTTGACTCTTTTGTTGGCTAAATCTGATGAGGGCAATATGTAAAACAAAACAAAACTGGGTAAAATAAAATATAAAAAAAAAAGGTGCATATCCGAGGGAAGAACAGTTGGCTAATCCGATCCGCTTCGAAGCGATTTTCCCTGGGGCAAGGTAAACAAACCATTCGAACATTCGGATTTTAAGCCATTTAAGCCGGGTTTTGTCCGCTTGCATTTTTCTTTACCAAATCTTGCACTTTATGGCCCGCTCAGCCTCCGCCGAACATGAACATGAATGAACTTGGACCAGGCTGTGTTTAATTTAAATTAAATTGGATTTTTTGTTGCCTTCGTTTGGGCCCGAAAACTGTTTTAAAATCCGAGTGTGCCTGACTTCTTTTTCTTTTTTTTTTACTTTTTTGTATGCCATTTGCATATGAATATGGCCGACGGCAGCCGCTGCGAACAACTAAAAGCAATTTGAGCTCGAAATTTATGGACATTGTTTGGGTTCTGCACGGTCCGCTCCTGCAGCCCATTTCACTTGCCTTTGGGTCATTTATTTAATGCTTATAAGGGTATTTTAATATTCTTAACGTGCAACGATCGCCATACTATATAATAAACGAAAACATCATAATAGCGGACAGGACAGGAAGAAATCATTAGATTTAAATATATATTCCAAATGGGTATATGATGGCAATATTGGGTAAAACAAGAAACCATTATAATACCATTTTTATTTTCCCAATAAAATTGGTTATTTATTAACCTATATGTTCCATAAAATTGCTATTTAATTAAATTCCAATCCAATGGTTCAGAAAGTGGTTTTATGAAACATTTAGGTATATGTATTATTATTATTGAATCATTTTCGGTATCCCCGCCCCGAAATATATGCCACCAAAAAACCTGGTGTTCTGTTGAATCTTGATCTTTAAAAAAGGAATTTCAGGATCAGAAATTTCAAGATCAAGATAGATTTCAACATATATAACACAATTAATAAAATTTTAATCCAAAGAGTAAGTAATTGTTTTTATAAAACATTTAAGTATATGTATTTCCTATTGTTTCATGATCGGTAGCCCCGCCCAGAGATATATCCCTCCAAAAAACCTGGTGCTCTGTCGTATCCCTACTTATCCTCCCCGAACACCTTCACATCCGAGCAAACAATAAACCTAAAAACCAAGTTCACAGCCCACGCAAATCTGGGAAATCCAGTCGAGAGACGCGGAGACCGCCAACGCATGTGCATAATGCTAAATCGACTGTTAATTGCGACATTTCGAAAGCCGTGACAAGTCGAGCCAAAACAGACACAGAAAGCCAATAAAAAATGGAAAACGCTGCTGGCTCGATAACAAAAATCAATGAAAAATTGGTAGGAAAATATGGAACGGCGAAGAAAGCCGACAGGGCAGGAAAATGGGTTTGGAAAATAAACTAAATTAAACATATTATGCGACATCACTTGGCAGATAGATACCACCAAGCTCGAGATCTTGGTCTAGCCCACACCAAAAGCTGCCCACACACGAATGCAAATGCCAGACGCAGACCGAAGTTGTATGGCAAGAAATTGCTCGGATGCTGCGGAGGAGTATGCTAAGTGAATGGGGGGGCTGTATAAGTTATGCCATGCACTGCCAGAAATTAGTGGTACTGCCCTCCCTATAGAGAAGGGTCCTAACAGCCTAACATTCTTAGTCAGCGAAGCATCATCTTCATCTTTTTGTATTTCTTGCGATCCAAAGAAACATTAGCTCATTGGATCATTGTCAGATGACAGCGACACACTTTGAGCACAAAAAGTAAGTGGGCAGCATTCAGCTGTTGTTGCGCTCCCATTGCCAAATTTGGCAACTGGTTGTGGAGCAACTGCGGCAAGTAAGTAGCACAAATGTCTCTTATTTTATCTCTTTTTCTTGGCTATATATATTTGTATACATGTATTTTGTCCCGCATCAAGCGGTCGCCCACGGTTGGCGAAACAAAAGACTTAGGCAACGAACTTGCCAAGAAGAACAGAAACCCAGTGCCTATGGCATCCGAAATCCAACAGCCAGGCGGCTAATGAGCCGCATGTAAAGCAGTAAAAAATTATATAAACATTAATTATGAGCAATCTCTTTCTTTTTTTCCCCCCACTCCGCTTTCATTGTTATTGTGGGCGTTCGAAAATGAAATGTAAATAAAAAGTTATTTTTCTTTTTCGTATTCCCCATTGTCGCCGTAAGTTGAACCCGAAGATCCAGAGCTGCCCGCTGTGAAAATGATGAGTTATATGAAATTAGAAGAGGTTGGAGAAGGCAGCAACAAAGCGCTAATTGCGCGTAAACCGAGCGGGGAAAACAGTGGAGCCCTCGGCGTGTGGGTTTCCTCGATTGTCTGCCTGTCTCTTCTCTTTATAGAGCCCTCGAAAGGTGCGTGGGCAAAGCCAGGTGAATTGGGAAAACATTAGCCCGTGAAATTATACGAAATTTGAGACGAACACACAACGGAAGTACCATGTGCTGGGCGGCGTTAAATGACTTTTAGCTGATTGAAATCATTATATCTTTTGAATTTTAATGCGAGCCCGCGGCTGAGTTAAGTCTACGATTGGGTTGCCTTCGAGTCCGCAGCTATTATTAGATTAAAAGGTGCTAATTTTCTAGAGAGTGTGTGTGTTTGAAATGGCGATCAGTCTGATTTCTATCGCATTAAGCAACCATAATGACTATTTGCCATTAAATTAACCCAAAAACTAGAGTCTCGACTCACCTGAGCTTTGGCCACATTCTGAGGGCTGGGCTGGGCCTGGAGGTCCTCTTTATCAGCGTGCGAAACTTAAACAGAGCGATGGTTCCAGCAGCGTTCATAGAACAATAAACCGCATTAACCTGGCCGGCCCCGATGTTTGGTTTCCGTTCTCTACGTTCTCTACCTGCCTGCCTGCTCCAGAACGTTTGTATATTTAAAATGCGATAAAGATCTTCACGGTGCACCGGCGACAATGCGATCGGTGGGCCGACAGTTGACACCGCTGGAGTTCGAGTTTTTGGGCTCGAACTGGACTTGCGGCACTCACAACAACTCACTGGGACAGCCACAGGCACACTCGCGCACACACGAAATTAAAATTTCATTCATGAAAAACGACAGCGACTGCAGCAGCAGCAGCAGGTATGGCTAATACAATCAACAGAAAACAGAAAGAACCGGAAACGGATGCGTTGTTTGTGTTGCCCCCCGCCAGGATTCCCAGAGTTGCGAAGGGCTATGTAGGGAGGGATGATGATGATGACGACGACGACGACGACCAGGTAGCACTAGCACTGTGCGCTGAACCACTCGAGTATTTGGTCAAATTTGCATTTTCACAGAGCCGAGGCGTACTTGGTTTTCGAGTTGCATGAGGCAGCTACAGAACCTTTGGTTTTGTTTTGTGTTTTCCAGCGCAATCAACTGCCACGAACTGAACCCGACGACGTCTGAAACTCGACTGAGCGGCCTACGCTCAGGTAAGGCAGGTCGAGCCGCCAACAGAATGATTTCATATGCGTTTTCCTCTCCGTTTCTCGTTTTTCGTTTCGTCTGGGGTGTTGTGTATTTGTTTGCCTTCGCAGTCGGTTCATTCACAAATACTGGTCCGATGAATGGACAGACGACTGCCGCCTCCGCCTCTGCATCTATATCCGAATTGTGTGGGCAGGCACAACGTCGAATTGAACATGGCTCGATTCTCTTTTTCGGCTCGCCAAAGATCGCATACCGCGCTTCTGCTGGCCGACCTAACCCAAATAAGAGGCCACTAAGCGAGGAGCATGGCTATGTAGCTGGAAAATAAATCAAGCAGGCAATGGGGAAAAAGTTCTCACACTCGACATGGCATCTGCTTGGCCAACGTTGGCCGTGGGCTATTTGATTTTCACATTGAATGTGCCGCAAAACAATTTTCTTGTTTATCCATTTATTTCCCCATGCGGACTGGGAGTAGCGCAAATGCACAAATATGGACAGTGGAAAACGGGTTACAAATGATTAGCACGCCGCACACACCACGGCGTCTGGAGAATCTGAGTGGAAACGGGCCGCGTTAACTTAATTAATTTGTGCTATTGTCCAGGGCTTCGGTCTTGATGGGCACCAGTGAGGGCGGGATGTTCAGCGTCTGCATTGATTAGGGGAAAACCAATTAACCACCTTTGTTGAGATGCATTGCGGACTATGAAGTCTAGCGACTTACCTTCCCCGGACAGGCGGCCTCATACTGGTGTTTGAGGCTTTCCATCTCGTAGACGCAGGTGGACAGGGCCGTGCGGAGCTCGCATAGCAATACCATATCGGAACGCAGTTCATTGAAGGAGGTGCATATCTCCTCCGTGGGCGGCGGAGCGGGATCTACAAAGAACAAGCCAATTAGCGACAGCGGGTGAATGTCTCATTGCTCAGCACTTACCAACTTTGAACTCCTGGATGGCCTGCTCGAGGGCCTTCACCTTGCGTTGACCAATGTTTGCCGGTAGCTTCATCTTCTGCGAGCGCAGAGAGACCCCGGAACCGCGCAGGTCGGCGAACTTGATGCCGCTGCTACCGATCTCTATAGCGTTCACCACCGAGTCCACCTTGGAGGGCCGCGGCTGGGTATGAACCTTCTTCTTGTGCAGTTTCTTTTCGTATTTGCGAGTGCTGGGCGTGTTCGATGCGTGCTCGTTCTGCTGATCTGCTTGCGAGATGAGCTTTTGCAGGTCCTGCGTCTTGCGCTCGCGCTCCTTCTTACGGGCCTCGATCTTCTTCATCTCGTTGATAAGCATTTGCTCCTCCTCCACCTGCTGGGTGGTGCGTTTGAACAGCTTTTCGAGCTGCTCCTTGCGCCGCCTCTCGTGCTCGGCGTCATAAACGAATACTTTCTTCTCACTAGTCTGATTCTTGGCCTTGGCGAGCAGGGCCACCACCTCATAGTAGCGCTCCTTGAGCTCCTCCACAGTCTTGGCGCCATGCTGCTGACGGTTCCAGCGATCCGCCATCACAATGAAACGAAGATCAAATCTGGAAACCATAGACTGAGATTTATGCTAATGAATAAGAGATATGCAGCCTACCGCCTCGCCAGGTCGAAGAGGTGATCTGTTTGCGCCTTGCTCCAGTTGTTGATGTTGTTTCTCAGGTGGGCATTATACTCCGTCATCGTGTAGGAGGGCACCTCCAGCTGTTTGTTGAACTTGGCGAAGGGATAGTCGGTGGAATTGTCAGTCACTCGTTTCCAGTGATGAAAGACGGCTGAATCGTTGCGTGCTGGATTCGAGAATGGAGCCCACTCCCACTTGCGCACCTTCTTCATTCCCAGACGGGCTTTTGTCTGTTTGTACCCGGCTCCAATTCCCAAAGCCGTGTCTGTGGGCAGGAGTGGAGGAGCATCCTTTTTGTCTGTGTAGAGCAGGGCGAACACCTCCCGGTGCATTCCCTCCGGACGACGGGATGCCGTCTTGGTCCTAAAATAAATAATAAATTTAATATTTCTTGAACCGCAACCATGTGAATTCATTTGTTTACCGCTCAAAGTTGCGCTTCTTGGTGGCCAGAAAGGAATCCCTCGTCACTTCGGGCGTGTTGGCACGCTCCATGTCCAGAATATCGCGCACATCGGCCGACATGGTTTAATACTTGTAGTTATTAATAAAGTTTATCTCAAATAACTTTTCCAAATTGTTTATTTTGATATTTTGATGGAATATCGAGGAAAATAAATTCGCTGTCTCTCAGTGTGACCATGAACACCCAGCAGCAAAATATCTACCCGTCATCTCTAAAATATATAAAAAATCTAATATATATAAAACTGGTATATTTAAAGGCTAATAAGTTTTGAAATGTTAATAACGGTCATCAACTATTTAAATTAAAGACCGGTCTTTATTCAATGCGCATTGCAAAAGATACATTTATAGTCGTCTTGCTATAGATTATAAATAAAAAGCTTTACTAGTGTACTTGTAGACCAGTTATAGAATAACTGAGTATAAAAAGATTTATGATATACAATTGTCCAGACTTATTACGATTAGAAATTGCAATTGAAATGCTTTAACAAATATGTTGGTTTGAAGAAAGTCCAAAAAATACCGAAATGTTACATTCCGCTAAATGTCACACTGCTGTTAACATGCGCCTAACAGCACAGTTTCTGAAAATGCTATGGAAATTGTCAACTTTACAGGTGTGGCAACGCTCGAGGCAATAGGGCAGCCATTTTTTTCACGCTTTGTAAAAAGTTTTTTTAAAAGTCGTGGAAACCGCAGAAAAGTCAACAAAATAGCGCTTGACCAGTGTCAAACGATAGTGTGGACCAACCAAAGTATGCAAAACTAAAGATTGTGTGTGCGCGCCGTGAGTGAACCGAACAATCGAACATGGAAACAGTGGTTGCCTTTAACAATGAGGTAAGCTATAGAGCATTTTGCAATGAGGTGAGTTCTAGAGCCGGCGTGGTTATACAATCCCTGCTCACAGTCGAGATTGGGATTAGGGCTCGGTGGGCAGGATAACACTAGAGATTCTCCCGGGGGCGCAGGAAGAGCCCCGAAATTTTCACCGACCAGGGTTGCTTTCTCGCGAGCACCCGATAACGATAACCCCAGATGTCCCAGCAAACCCGTAGAAGCTTTATATGTGTACCCTGTACTAACTCCTTTCGTCTTGCAGCTCTCCGGACTCTATGACAGCCGGCCGCCCATTTCCAAGGCCAAGATGGCCGCCATCACCAAGTCGGCGATGCGGGCCATCAAGCTGTACAAGCACGTCGTTCAGAGCGTGGAGAAGTTCATTCTGAAGTGCAAGCCGGAGTACAAGGTGCCCGGCCTGTACGTGATCGACTCAATCGTGCGCCAGTCGCGGCACCAGTACGGCATGGACAAGGATCTGTTCGCTCCGCGCTTCCAGCGCAACCTCACGGAGACCTTTGCCAACTTGTTTCGCTGCGCTCCGGAGGACAAGAGCCGCATCATCCGTGTGCTGAACCTGTGGCAGAAGAACAACGTCTTCAAGTCGGAGGTGATCCAGCCGATCTTTGACCTAGCGGACCCCAACCATCCGATCTATCACCAGATGCCGCCGGTGGGCGTTGGTGGTGGACAGGGTGGCGGAAATGGTCCCGGTCCCAGCAGCAGCGGAGCCCTCACCCTGGCGGACATATCCAGTGGACCGAACGGACTCAACAGCTCCGCCATGGAGCTCAGCATGAACAGCTCCGTGGGCGAGGATAAGATGGGCGGGGCCATGCCCGACTTGTCGGTGAGTTAAGCTCCTGGTGCAGGCTTTTAGGATTATTTGGTATTGGACTATGGCTAACTAACCCACCATCTTCCATTCTGCTGCATTTACATTTCTCTGTCTCTCATGTCTTGCCCACTAACCACACTATTCGCACCTCACCAATCGCTAGCTGGGCCACGAGAAGTTTAGCGGTGGCAGCAGCAGCTCGAAGCGCCACTACTCGGAGCAGCACTACTCCAAGCGCCAGTCGGGGGCATCGTGCTCGTCCAAGTCCAGCAAGTCGCATCATCACAAGCGGGAGTACGTCAAGAGCTCGCACGACCTTGACTACCAGGTGCGGGAGATCATCGAGGACGAGGATGATGGCATGCAGATGATGATGGCCGATGACCACCACTGCATGGGCGACGACTCACCGCCGACCTCATCCAAGCTGTTAGACGTATGGCGAGCTCCATTTAACCCATCATTTAGATATATTCGGTTTAGTTTTAGTCGCTTTAGTTTCCGTTTATTGCTAGCTACTCTTGGTTGAACCGATTTAATTAAATATTTTTGACCGACTCTTGCAGGACAACAACATCAAGCAGCTGCTGAATGATCCCAATGTGCTGCGGCAACTGCAGACGATTCAGAACTTCCACAAGTTCAAGCAGCAGGAGGAGAACCAGAAGCATCGCTATCCGGACGAAGCATTGCAACAGCATTTCCAGAACGTAATGAAGGTACATTTCTCTTCATATTATTGGTTATCCCTATTGTCATAACAATATACTTTCAGGGAAATGCTGGTATGCCGCCGGGCATGGGAATGGGCATGGGCATGGGCATGAACATGAACATCAACATGAACGACAGCATGGACCTCAACAAGGATGTCGAGTTTGTATCGGAGCAACAGACCATTGAGGTATAACTTTCAACTATTCCTATCTATCTTAATTCCTGGGGACTTGTGTGTATGCTTTTCACCGCGGCCATGTTGTCATTGCTGGTTAAAAGCATAAACATATTAGATTGTAATCGGTAGATGCCATTTGCCTTGTGCTGACGTGAAGTTAAACCGGCTAATGTGCCCAAAATGTTGTTATAACCGATTGAGTATCGGCGTATTCGAGTCCAACTAAGTTGAACCGGGGTGGTTTTGAACTATTTACTTAATATCTATCATCATATACTATAAAAACACGCAATCCATTTATAGTGATTGCCTTAGTTAACTTTATTACTTTGTGAAAAAGAAGATGCCTTTGTGCAATCCCTTAACAAGTTCCTTGAATCAATATGAATGCCCCTAACGATTGCCAATATTTAAATAAGTCAATGAAAATTTAAATTGTAAAAACAATATATTAAAGAGAAGCCAAAGGTAAGGTTTTAAATGCCACGTAATGTCCGGCGGAACAACCCGGTACCCGATGCTATAACAACGTTTGGTAAGTTCCTAATATGTAAATCAAAATGTTGCTCGAAAACGCAAAATGCCAACTAGTCCGAAAGAACTATAAGAATCACCAAAGTCTAAAGCGAAACAGAACCACACGTCAACACACGCCAAAGAATGCAGTTTATTCAGTCTATAATATCGTTTTTTCCCCATGTGGCCAGCCACTAATCCATTCCCCAATCCCAAACCCTTTTTCCTTTCCATATTTCCACCACCAGCCATCCCGGACCCAATCAATTTTTATGCTTACCAAAATGTTAACGTTTTTATCACGTATCACTTCTCTCAAATTTCTTGCCAACACTCCCGTCTCCGATAGGTGATCAATCTGGATGGAGCCGATTCACGCAGTCCGACGCCAGACCGCGATCGCTACAAGCGTAACCGCAGGAGTAGTCGCACCCGCTCGAGATCTCCCCGTGGACGTGGAGCTGGAGGTGCCGGAGGAGGTGGAGCCGGCAACGACCGACGGCGACGCAGCTCTCGCTCCCGATCGCGCAGCCGATCACCCCGCTCCAGCCGTCGTCGAGGATCGCGGGACCGGGAGCGCATGGACCGGAACAACCGGGACAAGGAGAGGGATCGCGAGCACGAGCGAGAGCGACGCAAGAAGGGATTGCCGGACATCAAAAAGGAGCACCTCAGTGGTAACTATGAAGCACCAATCGAAAAGTGGGTCTCAAAAGGCTCTGAAAACTAAGCTCTTTGAGATCCGTTTTAATCGATCGTTTTTATCTTTTTAATTTTTTTTTTTACTAATTTGAAAGATCTTTTTTCTCTGCAGCTCCTTGTCTCTGTTGACGTGTGTGTGTGTTTTGCTTTAGTGGTTCTTGATCATAGTATCGGGCACATTTTTTTTAAATCCCCTCACTCTAAAAATATGCGTTTTCGAGCAATCTATTTGGGACTATTCCCGATTTACATACTTAAACATAAGGAGTACCTATTATACAGATCTAAGTTAAAGGTTTTTTGCAGCAGAATTCAAGTTTTTAATTCCAAAACCATTATTTGAATACTGTCAATTGAAAAGTGAAAAAATCGGTTGAAATTAGAAAAAGCAAAAATTCATTAATGAAATAGAACAGATCAATTATTATGAAAATATAATTATTAATTAACCTGAAAAACAACAGATAAATGATATAAGCATTATACTATCTTCAATCTAAGGCCTAGTATTCAACCTAACAAAAAGTCGTTCAACCCCAAAATCGTTATATAAAAAAAACGTCACAAAATTTGTGTGCCCTAGGCCTAAATTAACATTTTTATTCCAAAAATTCAGCTCGCAAAATTGGTTATTTGTCGTATGGTTTTTTTGTGCTTTAGTACACAAAGTTATGTGAGAGATAATTATACTTCTTTAAGAACCAAGTATGGTTAATTGTAAAAAAGTTATTAAGATTATTTACATTAACATTAAATAGTCTACAATTTCAACGGGACTCACAGAGTTTTCCGATTTTTAGAGAGTAGAAAAATGTTAAGACAAGGTTACATATAGGTTTTCGGAAAAACGGCAATATAGGCCATTTTAGATAGGACTACAAAGAAAACCAATTACCAATCAGGTTGACATTTTAATTGGTGACAAGAGTCATCGGAATTAAACAGTGTACATTGTTTAGGTTTTGAAAAAATTGAATTTTTGAATAAGCTTTTAAAAAAACGCTTTCAGTTCAAGTTGTGCTTATAACTGAACCTATAGAATAATTGGGATTTTACGAAATTAAATGTTGTTTAAAAGATTGGATAAATGATATTGAGACAATATTTAAGTAATACATATGTACAAAACAACCAGTCTATCAATTTAAGAGTAGAGTTTTCAGGCACGCACAAATATATTCCATCGTAATTACCAGATATTAGCTTTTAAATTAAACTGATCGAATTGCCAAACAGATGCCGTCAGTTACAATCTAATTAGTGTGTCAAGATATGTATTTATATTACAACAAGATTATAATTGGCACGCACACCTCAACAAGGCAAACGAGCTTCTAATACGTTGATATATTTAATCCTAATGTCGTGTTCAATTATTTTTGACTTTCAGTGTGCAGCACTACGTTGTGGGTGGGCCACCTCTCCAAGCTGGTTTACCAGGAGGAGCTGTCTGACACCTTCGGCGAGTATGGCGACATAGTGAGCATCGACCAGATTGTGCCGCGCGGATGCGCCTTCATTGTAATGAATCGGCGCCAGGACGCCCACAAGGCCATGCAAGCGCTGAAAAACCACAAACTGCAGGGACGCGCCATCACCATCTCGTGGGCGGCCGGCAAGGGTGTGAAAAGCAAGGAGTGGAAGGACTTCTGGGATCTAGAGCTGGGTGTCACCTACATTCCTTGGTCCAAACTTAGTCCGGATACGGACTTTGACGCCCTGGAGGAGGGTGGCATGTTTGACGAGGACACCATGCCCATCCAAATGAAGCAGAAGATCAACCAAGCAAAGAATGCCGGCAAGGACAATAAGGGTCCATCTGCTGCGGAGGCAGCTGGTGCGCCGGGGGTTGGTGTTCCACCACCAGGTCTGATCTTTGGCATCGATACGACTCAACCACCGCCGGTTGGGCCAGTTGGCCCGGTGGGCCCACCACCTGGTCCTGGAGCACCACCTCCTCCGGGACTATTGGGCATGGTTAGGGGACAATTCCCGATGGCCCCACCCATGGGCATCAATATGCCGCCGCCCATGATGATGCCGCCAACAAATATGCCGCCACCAATGATGATGCCAACGACCAATATGCCTCCTCCGATGATGATGCCACCGGCCATGATGCCGCCTGTCTTTCCAGGTAGCTATAAATCTCTTACAACTGATCTTGAAACTTATTTCCATTATTTTGCAGGCATCGGGGGACCACCGCATCCTATGGGCTTGCCACCCGGAGCTCCGTTCCCACCACCTGGAGCCGTGCCACCGCCCATGCCCAGCGTAGGGCAGTCGTCGGCCAATAGTGGCAACGTGAGCGATGATCAAATGGACATTGAGATGGATTTGGAGGATGCCCCACCTCCGCCGCCGCAGCCGCAAGTTAACTTTAATCCGTCGCCCAACAATGTTGAGCTGTCACCAGCGACCTTGTCTAACGAGATGTTCCAACAACGGGACAGAGAGCGAGACCGGGAGAGGGATCGCTCTCGAGGCCCGGGAAGCTCTCGTTGGGGCGGACGAGATGATGTCGTCGAAGCGGCAGACCGTTGGCGCGCCGAAAATGGTGGCGGCGGAGGTGGTCCAGGACCTGGCCCTGGCCCTGCACCTGGACCTGGACCAAATGCTGCCTTCAACGAGGCACGAGCGCGACTCAACTTAAATCCTATTGATCACGGAATGCCAAGGCCGGACTTTATGGGTAAGTAAAGGATTGAAAGGAAGGATTGAACTGTTCTGGTAACAAAACTACCATTGTCTTGCAGATTTTGACAATCGCGGTGGACCACCGGGTGGACCTCGGGGAATGGGACCACGTGGAAACCACAACGGCGGCCCTGGAGGCGACTTTTTCCCGCCCAACATGAATCACAATCGATTCAACCAGCCCACCAGCCTGATGCAGATGCGCATCCCACCACCGGCCTCCTTTAACCAGCGCATGGGCGGTCCACCTGGTAATGGTGGCAACGGCGGTGGTCCCATGTTCATGCGGAACCAAGGAGGAGGAGGTGGTGGTGGACCAGGAGGTGGGGGACCCAACGGCGGCCCAGGTGGACGACAGCAGGGACCAGGTGAGAAACGAGGATTGAGAAGGAACTTTAATTCAAGAATGAGAAGACGTGGCAGGCATTTCTCTTGATTATTTTGAACCAAATTAATTTGTTAACAAGTGTACAAAAATGTTGAATATTGAATTAAACTTCTATTGAATTAAATTTAGTTAGCTTAGTTTTCCGTTATTATTTGAAAAACCCTTTGGTTCAACTAAAGAAACTGCAAAAGACGAATAAAAAATGCAAATCTTAAAAAAATGAGGAAACCAAGTTACACATAACAAAATGTTAAAAGTTGTAACTTAAAAAATTGTTATATAAAATATGTCAACCTAATTAGTATTTAACGAAATTGCATGTTCCTAATTGCATCTGCCTGGTCTTAAGTATTATGTATTGAGTATTATGAGTATTAGAAAAACAAGTACGGTATCAAGAAGTACATTTTTATTACACATCGTGTATCATTTTCTCCCTTTCAGATGATAGTCTGGTTCGGCATAATAATGCTCTGTTACTACTTACAGGTTTCTTTAATCCTCGGAATCCCTTCAATGACAACCAACGCGGACGTGGTGGCCAAGGCGGTGGCGGAGGCCGTGGCATGGGCGGCGGTGGCCCTGGCGGACGCGGACGTTGGAGCGACGATGAAGACGAGGGCGGAAACAACTTTAAGCGGCGTGGTGGTCCAGGTGGGCCTGGCGGTAATCGATTCCGTGGCGATCGCGGCGGCGAAATGGTGGACGATCGTCGCGGTAACAATCCAAGAGGCGGTCGCGGAGGACCGCGCGAAGATCGGGAACGTCCAGGCTTTGGAAACAGACGCGGCTCACGAGACGACAGCAATCGTCATTCAATTAGCTCCACGGACGATGGCAGCAAACCAACTCCGGAGCCTGAGTCCCGGCCGAAAAATGTTGGAGCTGCATTAGCTAACGCCAACACGGGAGCGCCCCCTACGAACACTAGGGTGGACACCGAGGAGGACTGGGATCAGGAGCTTCAGGACTACGAGGCGAGAATGGAGGCCCAGAAGCCTAGTGAAAATGCTTCTCAGTCCGCGAACAGTCCGCCACAGGATAAGGTTCCTGCTGAGAAGCAAAACTTTGCCAAGCCAGCTGACGTGTCTAGCGATTCCTCTGTTCAGAAATCCCAAACGGATGCTTCAGCCGCCTGCACGCCCCTGTATGACGAGCTGCCACCGCCAGCGGTTACCCAGGCCCAAGCTCAGCCCTCGAGGGAAGCTTCTCCGCCCCGTCCGGAGCCGCAAGTCATTCACACAGAGGCTGCGCCCAAAGAGGAATCGGTTCCAGCGCCGGCTGCTGTTCTCCAAACGGAGGCTCCATCTGCGGAGGAACCCAAGACACAAGCTGCTTCCGCCGATGTCGCAAGCGAAGCCGATGCATAGGCGACAGACAGATCAACAAGGAAACAAACGCATCTTTGAGCAAATTCAAGAGAAACTGTAATTTATGATTTTCCTTACCAAGTAACTTAAGTGTAACTCCATACATGCAAAAATTTTACCATTTTTAACCTGAGATTACGCAGCATTTGTTGACTAAAGTGGGGCGGTCGCTTTTAAAATCAGATTCAGTTCACTTCGCGTAATTTAACTTATCGTACAATAGGAACCACAACTACCAAGGACTACGTGGAGCAACAGATACACACACAGATATAGCAAATAATTAGCAAAGGATACGGATTGTATGGACAGGAAATTGACAGGGGAGCTTGTGTGGAAGAAGAAGCCCAATCATAAACAAATCAGCAATCGCAAAACTTGAAATGTTTATTATTTTGTTATGTATTTAGTTTTAAGAGTATATTTAAAACTCAGATTGTTTCTAATGCGCAGATTCTAGGTACACGCATAATAATGTACAATTCAAATATACCTATATTATCAAATACTATAAAATAAAAATTGAAAAATATCACTCGAATGTGTATTTTATCGGCACGTTACACTTATGCTTTACAGAAGGATTTAATATCCTACAGCAATGAAATTAAATTTATATTTTATTTGTTATGATCCAAAAGATTTTTTAATTAACTTACATTACAGCGAATTGAAGATGAGATTATTTTTGGAATATAAACAAAATAAAAAAGGACTCTGTTGACCCCGACGTGATTTGAACACGCAACCTTCCGATCTGGAGTCGGACGCGCTACCGTTGCGCCACGGAGTCTACGTAGAACTGTTCGACCAATGTTCCACTGTACCCCCGATGTACAGTGCACAATGGGCCAGTGGATCCGAATTTACTTAATTAAGGTTATTTCTAAAAAGATAGTGTAAGACCCCTAAAAAAAATTATATTGCATCGGCCGGGAATCGAACCCGGGCCGCCCGCGTGGCAGGCGAGCATTCTACCACTGAACCACCGATGCTTTTGGAAATCGGGGAACCATTCTTTTACAGGTTCTACTGGAACCAGGGCCCATGATCTTACGTTGCGTTAATTTATCACCACATTTTTTTTAAAAATTTAACTACAATGAGCTTATTGTATGATCGACGATCACTCGCTACGATGCATAGGAACAAATCTTCCATTTAAGATATCTAAAGTTGCAAAGTACGACGAATGTGTAAACATTGGTATGTGCCGAAGATCTCTTCCACCCAAGATCTTTTGATAATCTAATTGTTTTTCATTTTAAGAGATTTCGGTTAGAATGTGTATTTTTGTGTTTGTAGTCATATTTAATAACTGCGTGAGACCATTATGAATCTATGCATAGCTCAGGTCAAAATGAATTTCGTACATTAATGCAACCATCTTTGGTAGAAGAGATTTCTTTTGACTGGCATGCTATGAACGCGTAAAACTAGAAGTTAATATTTGTAAATTTGTCTACTACAGTCCTTGAAACCAAGAGCGATATAACAAAGTTCACCTGAGCAACAGCAAAACTTTTCCTTGGATTAAAAAATGGTTCAGACTGGACATCTCTTTATATAATATAAATCTAGGTAAAGAACGTGATTTCCGATGCTCGCTATGTAAAAAAGTGGTTTGCATCGGCCGGGAATCGAACCCGGGCCGCCCGCGTGGCAGGCGAGCATTCTACCACTGAACCACCGATGCTGTTGGAAATCCGGGAACCATTCTGCTTGAGGCTTTACTAAACCAAGCTCTAAAGATCTTCACTTATTTTTTGTTAACTTATGTATCACACCTAGTTCTCTAGTGATGTTTAAATGAAAACTTAGTCGACAGTTATCTATGTGTATTTCTATGTGTATTATGTATTTCTTCCATTCGTCACGATCCATTGATCACTTTAAAGTACAAAAAGTTTGCCGTTTCCCTCGAAATTAGGAGAGATCGTTTATTATATAAAAATTCGACTATAAAAAAAATGTTTGGACACGTGCTAATGTGTCCCTTAGAAATTCCTTTAAATTAATAAGAAAAATCGTTACAAGTAAAAAATTAGTTGCATCGGCCGGGAATCGAACCCGGGCCGCCCGCGTGGCAGGCGAGACTTCTACCACTGAACCACCGATGCTGTTGAAAGCAACAGTACCGTTATAATTCGGGTCTTACTGAAGTCCTGATCCTGTGATCTTTTGTTTATAACGGATATTCCACACCCCTCCCCGCATCTGACTCCGTGGCGCAACGGTAGCGCGTCCGACTCCAGATCGGAAGGTTGCGTGTTCAAATCACGTCGGGGTCAATGCGTTATATTTTAAGTTTTTTTATTCCGGTTATTATTCTAATAAGTTTAAACGATAGAAAACAGCTATACAAAAATATGTATGAGACGGATCGGTAGATAACTACGGTTTGGAAACCCGCTCGTGTCATCGGAAACCGAATTTCTACACCAAACGATGTTTTCCTTTTGCTTGGTTTATTTTAGGACATGGCTAACAGTCGATTATCGAATAAAAATATTGTACACTATATTCAAAATCCGGCATAACCACGAAAATAATTAAATAATATTACGTTTAAAGTGTTTTTTGTTTTAAGCTCTTATTGAATCAAAGGATTTTTTCACATTGCCATCTCCGCGGCATGATTTCAAAAGTTCAACATTCTTCATTCTATAGTTCGTTAAAAAAGAATTGGTTGTTTGAGGTTGATGTGTTGTTTTTCACTTATTTTTGCACTTTTTTGTTTTGAATATATTTATAATTTTATAATCTATACATTTCCTACACATTTTACACGGAAACATTGGTTTACATGCACATTTTCTACAAGGGTATTTTACCATTATGTGAATAACATTGCGAGAAGATCTACAAAACGGAAAACAAATCAATTGGAGAAATGTAAAAAGGTGGAGTCTGCTGGTACACAAAGAAATTAGAATAAAAATAAATGGAATGTTCAACGAATGTTTTTATTTATGTAAATTAGTAGTTTAAAACTTCTTTCTCGTCCCACGGATGCTTCGGCATCTTTCCCGAGCCACCGCACTCCAGCTCCGAGTCCCAATGGACATATTGGAGCCGGATTGGGAGCGGGGATGATCCGCTGATGCTGCAGGAAGTCGCCCAGCATCCTGGCAGTGGCTGGCTATGGCTTCTCCAACTGTTCCTTAGCTTGCGCCCTATTTTCCTCCTCCCTATAGAAGCCAGCGTTTCCTCCAGCTCCGCTTAAGCTGCCAAGTAGCTGGTGGTGGTGGTGTCCTAATGGAGAGGTCGTCGGAGATCGTATTACTGGTGGTTCTGCTAAAAAGATACTTCTATTAGTAAAACGCAACCAAATTCTTTTGGCGAGATCTTATTTTCTTTGCGAGGACGCGCCCGGCAGGATGTCCATGTAGAGATCGAAGTCCCACTCGGTATGTTCTTTCCCACTGGGATTCTCTAGTGGATCTCCTCCAGCACTCCAACCATTCTGCGGATCTGCCACTTTTGTATTGCTACCTATCGGTGAAATCCCTCAATAAAGGGCAACATCCTAGATTAGGCGTCATATTTCATCTGCACTTATCTCCTGCAGCCGATTATTCGGTTTTCCTTCCATTTTTAATTTTTATTTTCCACATCGCCTTTGCACAAACACCGCCAAAGATTAAATTTTTTATTCTTTGGGCCGCGGCTAACGGCGTTCATCGAAAATTCACCCGCGAAATCTGGTAATTTTTCTGGTATTTCCTTAGCTTATCTAAGTACCGCGCTGAAAAACAAACCCGACGAAAACCCTTAGCCGACTGTTTGCCTCTCGCTCACTCCTATGGTTAGCTCGCGGTTTTCGTCGATCTGAGTACTAGGCTTTATGATTCCCAGGGAAAATAAATAAAAAATAGGATACCAAAGGTTCGCCCCCAATAGCTGTTAAAAGTATCAATTGGTTTTCATAAATTATTTAAATATTATTCGATAAGAGTAACAATCTATTATTCGATAGCTCCAGGGTAACATCGATATAACTAAATTACGGTCAGCATCGATGGTCTCTCACAAACATCGACTTGGTCCCATCTCCAATTTCGTGTTAAAATATACAAAACGCAAGTTAATCGATCACCGGAATATTTGTGCACAACGGACGGCTTACGGTTACGCGGATAGAAAATGCAGTGTTAATTGAGTGTAAGCATCCCAGGAGTTGTCAAAGTGGAAAAAAGAGAAAAATTTTCGGGTGCTAAAGAATCCATCCGTACACACACACAACCACATAGCAGGCACGCAGGCCGAGGCACATACACATGCTCACGGACACAGCGCATTTGTTAGAAATGTGCAAATTGTATCAGAAATCCGCTCGAAAGTAAATAAGTTGAGCAGCAAGCCCAGTGAAAAAAAGAGTGAAATAATCAGAAGCGCACGGTGTGCGAATGAAAATGCCAAAAGCGAGCCCAAAATACTGAACAAAACGTGTGCAATTTTGCAGTGCTTTTTGGCTGTGTATATCGTAGTGTTCGTGTAGGTGAGCAGTGTGAAAAAAAAGAAACATATAGGTGTATACATAGGTGTCCCTGTACGTGTGCCAGCCGCCAACAAACCACACACACACTCGTGCATACGTAACCGCAGTCGGCGCTGGCAGAGAAGCGAGAGAGAGTAAAAAGGATGCTTCCTGGCGGAGAAGCAGAGGAAAAAGAGAGAGAGCCAAAAAGGATGCTTCCTGGGCTAAAATGTGGATGCTGTTTAAAAAGCTCAACGAAAACCAACTTTTCACATTTTCCCCCTTTCCCTTCCGTCACTTTTGTTGTTTTTGTTTTTGCTGCTCTCTGCCTGCACAAACATGCATACCCACACACACACACGCACACAGATGTTTTGTTTTATTCTAGCTATTTTCGGAAGAAAAAAAACGAAGGTGATCAAGCCAACCGGCATGAATGGATTTCGCTATTTATTTGCTTTATTTATTATCTAGTTGCTACTTACACCTGATAAGACCCCCTACCCAACCATAAAAACCAAGGCCCAACATTATTGGAGCCGCTGCTATCGCCTAATTCGCCCAAGTTATGCAAAAAGCAGAAAAGAAACCGAATTACCGCATTTTATCAAAGTTCTTTAGCCTTTTGTTGCGCGTCGAATCTTGTCGCCCTGACGTTGTTGTTTTTCTTGATTCGCTTTTCGTTTTTGTTTTTGTGGCTTTTCTAAATGCGATGAGCGCTATATGTGTGTGTGTGTGCACTGTGCGTGGGAGTGTGTCAGTGCGATCTCGTTTTGGCCAACGAAATGCAATTGGGAAAGTGTGAAACAAAAGAGAGAGGGAGAGCCAGAAAGAGCGATGGGGAGAGAAACAAAACAGGCGAGAGCGAAATCAGTGCACTTTATGAGCCGTTGAAAACTGTGGGTCATTTTAATGTTACAATCTCGATCATTTCATCAGATCATCTCAAGTAAAGAACCTAATTATATGGTAACTGTAGAAACGAGAATTTTTCTTATCTTGCTGTGGACTGGGTTCATGAGTGCTTATCTTACTAGGGTCCTCTAAATTCGAAGATTTTGGGAATCATAAACATTGTTTAAGATATTATTTTGAGAAAGAAACAATGTTTTTGGGAAACATACACAACTCTAAGGGGGTGACACAAAAATCTCATTACACGAAATTCCACTTGAAATTCTTCGAAAAAGATTTCTGTGTCATCCGCGATAAAGTCTGTTTGTTTTTGGTTTAATATTGTATAGTATGTAGCATATTTTAAAGGAACCACACAATTTTTACATTTCTCCTAATCATGTTAAAAAATTATAGTTATCAGAATACTCAAAAATTTTAGTTATCTGACATAATTACTGTCTTAGTTTCGCGCAAGCGGTAATAAAGATGATTCCATTCTTTTTGTAAGGAGCCTCAGGCGCTACTTCTTAATAAACATTTATCAACAGTCAAATGTAGCTTTGTTATTTTTAAAAAGGTTAGTCACAGAAGCTCTTGTTTATGTAAAGCCAGACGCTGACTTCAACCAAACCGAAGAATCGGGAATTTTCATATATAGTATAGTAGCAACACATACAACAAAGAATCCAAGAAATTGTTGGCAGAAATTTATTGATGACTTCATTACTACATTTCAAATGTACTTTGTTAAATCATGAAACTTTTTAAGTTTTTACTAGTTAGGGTTAAGTTAGGTTAACTAATTTTATTGCGATTTACTGCCAATAATGGGTTCTAGATTTTTGCAAACCTTGCGATATTAAATAAAGCTCTTTAAAAGAACCTAACCCTTTCGATTTTTGTAAGTAAGGTAAACCATAAATACAATATTAAAGAGACTTAAACAACCTAGTGTATTATGGCAAGCACTTTATCAGAGATAATTTTAGAAATTGTATAGTGGCAAATAGGCACGATGAAATTAGGCCCAATCTGAGACAACCCTTTGGGCAATTATGTATATTCGACTGCCGATGCAGACGGGGATTCCAAAATGGCGGATACGAACACAACCCGGAAAGCAGTGGTGAGAAAGGGAAGCCCATTGAGCATTCAGGTGTCCATTTGTGGTCCGTCACAGGACGAGAAACCGAAATAGGAACGGGAACAGGAACAGAAACAGGACATTCGAGCAACAGCACCAGACGTCATCGGCAAAGGGAGCTTCCTCTTCCTCTTGCTCCATCTCGGTTTCTGTTGCTTTTGCTGCCATGTGGCCATGCGATGGATGCGCTCCACTTTTGGATGCTATTTATAAACCTTTTCACCCGTATACATACACACAAGGATGCCAGCCAGAGCCAGGCCAGTGATTCTGCTCTGCTTCCTTGAAATCTGCATAGTTCCGCTTCCGATTGAGTTGGCGCAGTCGCATTGGCACGTCCGTTCCATATCCATATCCCATATCCAAGCCATAGAGCTCTGTAGCCATAGCCATATCCATATCCATCAAACCTTGTATTGGCGCAACAGAGAGTGTATTTCACGTTCCACCGAATTTACCGGGCAGCATCCACATCCACATGTTGAAAAGCAGTGGGCACATCGCATTACCCTTCCCGGATTCCCGTACGTACACCAAAACTCAACTCCCACACTCAAAATACCCGTCGTTGCATTGATTTGTTTGTGTTCGCCAGTGAGTGTGCGTGTTCTCCGTCTGCACTTGTATTTTTCAAGTCCTTTCCCCAGAATTTATTTTAGTGCTTTTCCATCGGCTAGGCCTGTGCAATTGTTTTACCACCGAAAAAGTTATTTCTTTCGAAATAGTCATGTTTTAAAGTTACACAAAAGCTGGTAATTAAGCGAAAATGTGTCCTGTCTGATTGGAAAAAAAATAAAAAAGATCCATTTCTTGGTACTAAGATTTCAATAAGTAATCCCTATATCACTTGCTGATGAAAATAAGAAAATAATCCTTTAATTTTCTAACAATAAGTTAGCAATTCGCAATTACAAATTTTCCTTGGAGTACATTTCATCCCTTGCATATTTCCCTAAATTAAAGTACTTTGGAGTCTTTAATGTCATCCGAAATAACTGAATTCCATCAATCTCCAGTAATTCGCAGAACGCCTTATTGGCACGTATCTGAGTACACACACCTCCATATAATCTTATTTTCTCTGGCCCACAGGTGTGCTTTTAACGCTTTTTCAATCTCCCAGAAGCTCATGCATATCTTCATGTATAAGCAATTTTAGTATTGAGAGACTACTTCTATAGATATACGGTTTCGATTGCATATCTGGGTTTATTAAGCATTGCCATGGAATTTCATCAGAAAAATCTAAAATCTTATCTGAAATGTTATTGCATCGGTAGGTGATATTCCATTCAATAATATAAAAGTTCTGTTCTTAAGAGTACCAGCATTTAAAAACACATACATTTCACCACATTTTTAAATTTACCAAAATTTTAAACCACTTGAAATTGAAAAACCTATCTCCCATTAAAACAGTCAAAATTGAAATGGTTCTCCTTCTCTCGAGTGTGGCATTTTCTACAATTTGACAAATGACAATTACTCATAATTTTTTCGAAATTGATTACTTAACAACCCAATGAGTCAATTTGTTTGGCTTCTTAGCCATTGTTTTAAATTGTTTTGGCAATAGTTGGGGCGTTGAAATTTGGATATCTTTCAAGTGCTAAACCGCCTCTCTGAATTTCAAACGCCCGCACTTGTAACAAAGCGAAAGTGCATTCAACAGAATAGCAGGCCTAAAAATAACATATTTGCTTTTACTTATTATACGATATAAGATGCTTGATGATTTTAAATAGGAGTAGTGACATTTGTTTAATTTCGGCAGAGAATTCAATGCCAAGAGGATCGGATCGGATCAGATCGTATCGGATCGTATCAGATCGTATCGGTCGCACATATTCTCACGTTTTCTCTGGTCTTTGCTCTCGTTGTTTCGCATCTCTCATACTCATCCCCTGCTTTTTTCTTTTTCTTGTGTCATCTGTTTGCAGTGTGAAAAGCGAAGAAAAGCCGGCTCAGCAGGAGGCGAAAAACATTTTCCAAACGCATCAGATGTAAATGAGATGCCGTCGCGCCGGCAGCAGAGTCACCAGCAAGCAAAACCACGCCGACATCGCCTCCGGAAATACCAGGAGCCCCAGCAGCATCTGATTATCAAGTGAAGAGTGAAGTGTAGTGGAGCGAGGACTCAATCCGTTCGCAGCAGTCGATAGGTCGATATAGGACATAGGATATATACATATAGCCAGGAAGCCAGGGAGAGGAGCCAACTAATCTAGGGGAAGCAGGGAGAGATCGAGCATTTCGAGCGGAGGACACACGCCGCGCATCCAAGATGAAGCGACGCAACGCGGATTGCGGCAAACTTCGGCGGCCGATTAAGCGCAACAAAATCACAGAGGGAATGTACGGCAGGTGAGTTCAAAATTGCCTAATAACAGTCAATAAAAATCCATTAAGACAGGATAGTTCTTTCCAAAACTGTATCTACTCTAAAAGGGTTTTGTAGGGGTGCAACTGCTAGGAGACTGTTAGAGTTTTCAAATGATTAGAAATGATTTTCAAACTGTAAGAAGCCATATTTCAAAAAGAATATAATGTAGTCCTTTCCAAAGCAACGATGTTATTAAAATGTTTATTTTTTTCCTCATTTAAGTATTTAGCGATAGCAATTAAAGTGAACCATGTGCTCTTAAGTTTTACTTATCTGCAAACTTTATATCTCAATTTGTTTTAATTAGTATGATAAACAGAAGACTTTTAATGAGTAATACTTAGTATACATACAATTCATATTTAATTAGTTTGACACGAAGAACTTGATTCTCTTCTTTTTCAAAGTATGAAGCAGAATACAATTACAAAAAGTTGCTTAGATTATGATTATTTCCATAGTACTGAAATGTATTAAAATAAATTTTTCGATTTCACATATACCAAACTATTGTGATTGTTTATTTCCAATGAAATAAAACTTTAAATCTTTTCGTACTACCAGTAGCTCTCGAAAATCTTTATTAATTCCAAGACCAATCGAATTTGGTCACAGCCCATCAATTAAATTATTGTGTATCTTACGATAAGGCAACTTCTTAATTGAGGTAATAAAGATACTTTTCGATTTGTTGGCATGCGAACTGGCCCCCAAGTCAACTTGATGATTTGATTATCACATTTCTCGAGTCGCAAGAGAACTACCACCGAAATTCCGAGAGTGTGCTGCTCATGAGGAGGAACTGGTGCTCCTCTGCTCACGCTTTTTATTATTTATACGTTTGTTTACTTTTTGATTGCGCCTTAGTGCTGTTGTTTTATGATGTTATGCCTGAATCTATTTGGACGCTACTCGTTATTGGCGTTTTACCCGCCTCTTAGCGCTTCTGTTTTGTTTCGTCAGATTTCTAAATCTTTGACTGTGCTCATCTCATTAAACATTTTTTACTGCCTGATTGATGGATGCTGATTCCTATCTGAGGTCTGAAAACATGTTGTCAAAGCTGACCCCTAAATGTTCAAGTTTTGATTGCTTAATGGGACAAAACACTTGATTAAAAAGCATACGGATGACAATTTGAGACGAAACATGTTGTGTGTTTAAATATTTTGATTGTCGTAGACAATTAAGAGACTTAAAATATTGTAATAAAGATTTGCAGTATTACGAAGCTATCGCGAAAAATAAAGTTAATCTAATTTATATTGCTTCTATACTGTCAGTCTTGACTCTAATTAATTGCCAATTTGATTGGCTCGTCGACCTTATAAAGCCAGGGAAATTTTATTTATGAAAAAATCTTACCACCCAGCTTACTTTATGCCTTTCAAGCATTATGTATACCATATGCTTATATTTGAGTTACCAGAATTCTAAGTAAGGAGTAGCATAAAGATTAAAGGGATAATAAAACATTTTCAAGGTTGTAAGATACCTATGTAGCATAATGGGAAACCGAATAATATTCATTACAAATCAATCAATCCACAATTTCTAACCCTTTTTCTCTTCCTATCCATTTGCAGCACAACAGTTCTGTACATGAAGTTTCTGATACTTTGGGCCATCGTAATGGTTGCCGACTTCATGTTCATGTTCCGCTTCGAGTACTTGTGGCCATTCTGGCTGCTTCTTCGCTCCGTGCACGATTCCTTCAAGTACAAGGGACTGGTAAGTGGAATGGAGATGGCTTCATCGCCGGACTGAGTGAAACTCTATAGGGGCCAATTCCATTTGCAGGCATTCTCCGTACTGTTCGTGTGCATAGCGATAACGTCAGATCTGGTCTGTTTATTCTTCATACCCGTTCACTGGCTGCTCTTCGCGGCCAGCACATACGTTTGGGTGCAGTACGTCTGGCACACAGGTGAGTCATTCCCCGCCAGTGTCGGTTCTCCGGACATCTCCTTACTTGCTTACCCATTTACTTGCAGATAAGGGGATCTGTTTGCCGACCATAATACTCTGGATGTTATTTGTCTACCTAGAGGTGGGCATACGATGGAAGGACAGTCGCCATATGCCGCATCTGGATCTCTGCCGGCCGTTCGCAGCGCATTGGTAAGATAACTAAAGCGTGGGGTTGGAGTAGAACCTCGTTGTAATCATTTCCTCCTCTGCTTTTAGCATTGGCTATCCGGTTGTCACGCTCGGATTTGGCTTCAAAAGCTACGTGGGCTACCGAATGCGCCAGCGGAAGCAGCGCGAAGTGGCCAAGGACAATGAGTTCTACATGCAGCTCCTGCAGCAGGCTCTGCCCGCTGAGGAGGCAGCCGAGGAGGCGGCTGCGGGGGCGACAGCCACATCCAGCACCGTGGTGGTGGCCAACGGATCGGCCACCACGCCGGCTCTGGTCGCATCATCCGGAGCAAACGCGGCAAATGGCATTTTGGCCACTGCCACGCAAGCACAAAACCATCATGAGCATCATCACAGCGGCGGCGCCGGCGCCAGCAGCAGCAACAGCTCGAGCAATAGCAATCATCACCATCACCACCATCATAACAACAATAGTGGCAACAGCGGCAGTAGCCACAACAGCAACAGTAGCAGCGGCGGCGGAGGCGGCGGCAAGGACAACAGTACAAGCGACGGTACAAACGCGGCCGCATCCTCGTACTCTGCAGCGTCATCGGCAACGGGATCTGCGGCAACTGCAGCGGCGGCGTCCACATCCTCTGGCTCATCCTCGTCGTCGTCGGCGACGGCGGCGGCGGGCAAGCAGTCGTCGGCGTCTGCTGGATCCACGGCCACAACAGGTGCAGCAACCACTTCTTCCACTCCCGTCTCAGCTCTCTCTGCTTTGGCTGCAAGCTTGACGACGCAGCAGCAGCAGCAGCAGCCACATCAGTTGGGGGCCGGCGAATCCCCGGCTACTTCTTCTGCCCGTTCTTCCTCCTCGACTTCCGACGGTGCCGATGCTGACGGTTGTTGTGGTGGTAATAATGCATTCTGCTGCTTTCTGCTGCCCCTCACAACAGCAACAAAGAACGAACCCATTTATTTGTACCAGACACATTTGTATGTTTCTGTATGCGCATGTAACCCACGAATCCATCAATATATATATATATCTATATAGTAACCGCCAGCGAGGCTTCCTCGCGCGATATCTAACCCACAGCAACCACAGTCGGCAGAGTTGTCAGCCCTTACCTTCATATCATTATGTTCCTGCTGCAATGCAAATCTAATTTCGATTGTCAGCAGGAGGGCGCGAACAACTAATAACGTCCGTCCCCAGACCGACCCCATTCCCTCACGAATCAATAAACACACAATTATGTTGTACATCAACGTGTATAAATATAAATATAAACATGCACTTAACGATCTATTAATATATCCCCTTTCAGCAACCTCCAATGGTCACGCTGGTGGTTCAAGGAACCATCGTCGCAGCATGGACAAGGATAAGCATCGCAACAAGGGTGACGCTGCTGATAATGAGCACAACAATGGAGCGCGACACGGGGGTAAAAATAGCAGCAACAACTATCACCAAGTCGATAGTGGCGCTGCCACAGCAACCACAACAGTAACAGCCACATCAAGTAATAGTAAGGATAAGGATAAGGATAAGGAGAAGTCAGACTGGGATAGTAGCACCAACTATCCACAACAACAACAGCAGCAGCAGCAGGGGGGAAAGGAGAAGCACGGTGAGTGGCTAGCACCTGGATTTGATTGCCTTTAAAAGCGCAACCAGATAGCTATTAATCTTATCGATTATATTTATTAACGTAACTAAGTGTTCAATTAAAACGTGTTTTCCTTGAGAGGAAGTCCTAATGTTTCACCATTTCCCTTATCTTTGGTAGCCCGGTGAAATACATCTCTGATCGTTTAAAGCATAAATAAAGTCAGTCTGCTTCTGCAGTTTTCAATAAATATTTCGGTTATAGCTATAAAAATAGCATAGGATTAATTGTTTTGATATCCATTTAATAAAGACCTTCTTCGTATTCCATTTTCAGACAAAAAGGCGGGCAACGCTGTCCCCAACGGAAATGCCAATCACCTTGAAGTTGAGGAAGCGGCCAGTGTGGAGCCAGCACCACCTGCTGAAAAGGCACCCAAGGGTAAGAAAGGCAACGACGGGTTATAAAGTGCATTATGACTAATCCTTATCTTCATTCGCAGGTCGACGCAATCGCGGCAAGAAGGATAATGCAGCAAAGGACAATCACAGCCATCAGCAGCAGCTGGCTCAGCAACAAAAGGAGAAGGACAAGGAGAACACGGCCAACAATAACAATAACGACGCCAGCTCAGTATCATCGTCGGCGAGCTCCACCTCGAGCAATGCCATCGCCAACTTGGCCAGCAAGGTGGTCTCCAAGATCTGCGAAACCTGTCTCAAACTGGAGGCCGATGTGAAGAAATATCGCACTGAAATCAGCCATATGAAGCAAATCGAAAACGAACTGCGCCAAAAACTAGACGCCAATCTCACCAGCAAGTCAACGCTGCAGGCCAAGCAGAAGGAGTGCGACGAGCTGGAGAAGCGAATCCAGGAGCTGAACAACGCTCGACATGCCGATATGCTCAATCTGCAGACGGTGGAGAGGCGACTCAACGAGGAGCGCCGCCAGAAACAATCCCTGGACTCTCAGCTGGCCAACGAAAAGAAGGCTCGCAAGGTGGCCGAGGACAAGGCGTCTCGTCCAGAGTGCAGCTCCCAGTGCAAGCAGCGGCGCCAGCAAATGGATGAGGAGCAGAAACGACTGCGGGGCGACCTTAAGCAGACGGAGGAGGCCAAGCAACTAGCCGTCGAGCACGGACGAAAAGTGGAACAAGAGGTAAGCAGTCAGACTATTAGTTTGTTTGGCAAATCATTAAGAAGTTAGTTAAATAATATTACATAGCTTTATATAAAAGTTCGCTAAGCTCAAGAAATGTATTCCCTATCTTTAGTACCGCATGCTGGAGGCGAAACTACGCAATCGCGAATCTTCGCAGCCTGACCCAGAGATGCTATTGAACGCCCTCGCTGTCGTCCAAGAAAAGAACGCAACGCTGGAAAAGAATCTATCCGCGGAGACGAGAGTCAAGCTGGACTTGTTCTCGGCTCTAGGCGCTGCCAAGCGCCAGATTGAAATATCTGACAGTGAGTATTGAAGTCCTTGGGTTGAGACCTCATTCATTTAATTATTCTCTCCTTTTAGACCATCGTCGCTCCAAGGAGGATGAGGTCATTGATCTCAAGGCAAAGATTGCCCAACTTCTGGCCGTGATGCCAGACAACTTGTGCATGAACACAGGCCCACATGGACCGGCGAGCAGCATTCTGCGCATGAACGACACGCCGCCGCTGCAACAGTCGGGTCCCGGACCGTCCTCGCCCATGCTCAGTTTGAGCGCTGCGCAGGAGTACCAGCAGCATCAGCAGCACCAGCAGCAGCAGCAACAGCACCAACAGCATCAGCAGCATCAGCAACATCAGCAGCATCAGCAACACCAGCAGCAGCAACACCAGCAGCAACACCAACAGCATCAGCAACATCAGCAGCATCAACAGCAGCAACACCAGCAGCATCAGCAGCATCAACAGCATCAGCAGCAACACCAGCAGCATCAGCAGCAGGGTGGCGGTGGTCCTGGCTCCCAGCAGCAAATGGTGCCGGTCAGCGTGTCTGCTGCCTTTCAGGTTGCCGCTGCCAATGCTGTTGCCGCTGCCAACGCTGCTGCGGCCAACGGAAATGGCGGCTCAACGCTGGATCCCAATGCTAGCGTGTACACGCCCAAGACGGGCAACATGATGGTGGTGTCGCCGGTGGGCATGAACCCCAACGGGTCGGATGCCTGACGCCAACAGCAGCAGCAGCAGCAACAGCAGTCCTTGACGTCGTCATCGTCGTCGTCGTCCTCGCACCTGCATATGCGACGACAAGTTTGAGATTATTATACTTTATATGAATTAGGGAAAACAAACGCAAACAACCGTCGCCACAGCAAACGATGAGCAGCCCGAAAACCGGAGCCGGTTCCATAAAGTTTGCATACAATATCTGAATGTCCGTAATATGAATAAGCAGTTTCCTTTAAAATCTAAACACCGCCACAGAAGCGCAGGCAGCACTGATGAATGCAGCTCAAAATTGCTGAACATTTTCAAAATCGTTTCAAAATCTCCAACCCAACCAGATTCCCCATAGAATTTGGCATTCCAATTGAAATTCTTTCTTAAAGGCCTTAATGACTCACTCCGATTGAAAATTCTCGGCTCATTTCAACCCACTGTTTTGAATCGGCTGCCCCGCCACCACACAAAACACACAACACATTCAGTATCTCCCCCTCTAACACGAAAAGTAAATGATTACTTTAACCAGATGATTCGAGAACTCGAAACACATTTGAAAACAATAAGAACAGAACACAAATTTCTAAAAATAATAACAAAATGAAAATGGCAATTCGTATTTTTAATTGATGAAGAAGAAAGCCAAGGAACTATCCAATATTCTTTGTACAATGTTTTTCATTTTTTACCAAACGCTGTGAGAGAGTTGAACCAACCATAGTGATGGCCTTGATCTTGGGGCGGTGGCGGCTGCCCTGCATGACCCATGCCCCCTGATTCAATGGAATATTTTTGAAGTCTGCGCCCTTGATTTATTATCTCATTAAATTATTTTTGTTATAAAACCTTAAATGTATGCTATTACTTAGAACTTATAATTTTTGAAACAAACAAACAAACATCAAACGGAAAACGATTTTCTTTTAAGTTTTAATTTATTTTTGTTAAGTTCTGCTGTTCCTAAGAAACAAAAAATCGAAAAGAACTAAGAAACACGCTTTGGTTTATTTACGAGAAGTGAAAAGTCGACTATTTTGTTTAATAATAAAATAACCTTTCGCTGCGAGAAGCAAGTACATATGATTTTGATTACTTATAACATTTTGGTTTTGATTTGATTTAGTGTATCACAGCAACCTAAGCTTTAGTCGTAAGATTCGGTTTCATCCAACCGATTTCATTGTCCAGTTCCATTCCACAAAGCAATACATCTCGGATATTCAAGAAAATCAATTTTCAAAATGTTGCTAAACTTAGTGTATGGTATGCTGGAAACCATATCAAATGCAATATACACAACAGTGGCCACCGTTTGGAGTATTGAACGTAAGTGAAAGGCTCTTGGCCATGTTGATCCTCTTTATCTGAACGATCCGAACCCACAGAGGCCGCGATCAACCTGATGATGTCCACGTTTCTGTTTGTGCTGGGCGTTGCTTGCCACCCCTTAATGTTGATTCCTATGCTGATGGGGGTCTACTATATTCTGCGCAACTGCTGGTACCGTCGCGTCAAGAGCCCTCGGTTGGAGAACTCCTTCGATAATGATGGCGGGCTGAAGTCTGGGATCCGTAACATGCCCCGTACTCCTCGCCTTCCCGCTTATCGCAGCTTCGGGAACCTCTCCAATCTTGACAACGATGCACCCACTGATGACTGACCAAAAGGATGTAGCAAAACAGACGCACACACTTGATTTCCTTGGGTTTATAATCTTCAGAAACACTGATTAGCAAATACATGTACAGATATGAGCGCTCTTAGATATATTATAATTTATTTTACCATGGAGTATGGGTTTCCGAATGCGTAACTGACGAAAAAAGTTTAACATAACGTGCAAATACATGATTTCCTTGGGTTTATTATCTTAAGTTATATTATAAATACGGATATTCTTTAAGCTAGAGAGTCTATAAATACTGTCATCCTTAAAGGGGATTATTTTAGGGCTTCAGTAGGCAACCGGTGTCCACCTTGCGCAGAGCTTCTCGTGCTTTGATTAATGTGACGTTGTTCGGCTGATTAGCGAGTCCGGCCAAGTGTCGGATATACTTGTCAATGTTGCCCACACTAGGACCACTGGGCTCCAAAGGAGGCAGAGAGACTCCACCGAGAGCTGCCACTAGTTTCTGGCGCAAGCCCCGCACATAGGTCTCAAGGCGTCGATTTTCCTCCATGAGCTCGTTCACCTCGCCCATTACCTTGGCATAACCGGCCTTTGTGTTGTCCACATGCTGTTCCAGTACCGCATTCTGCTGCTCCAAATCGGTCTTGGCCTTGCGCAGTGTCCTCAGCTCGTTCTCCGTGCTGCGATTGTGTTCGATGAACTCGTTGGTGTAGATGGGAATCTCACCGGGCTGCAGAGGTCGAGGCGCTGGTGCCACGCTGCTGGGAGCGGGCTGAACAGGAGCCGGCGGCGCTTGAGGTGTTGGAGGCGGCGGTGACTGGGTACGTTTCACCTTGGCCAGGGGCACGTCATCCGGATCCTCGCTCTGCCGCTTTAGAGGCTTTGCCTTGGTCTTTTTCGCCTTTCCCATGGTGGATTCACCCTTGGGGGTCTTTTCCTTGGGCGAACTGTCCAGCTTGGTGGCCTTCTTGGCCTTGGCCAGTTCTCTGGCAACAATTTCGGGGTGTTCCTTCAGAAACAGTTGGAGCTGTTCCTGATATCTAGGGAAGTTCAGAGAAATGAGTTAAATGAGTTCTGAAAGTTGTGACTATGAGTAGGCTCTTACATGGCCTTATCCTTGGCGGCTGCCTCCATGTAGGGCACCTTGCGCTCCTCGGGCAGCTGGTGCCACTCCTCGCCGATGATCCTTGTGTGCTCCAGGGCAGTACGCTGCGGCTGCTCCCGACGCAGTTGCTCGCGCCGATCGTTCATGAAGCGAACGTAGCCGTTGAGTGGCATTTTCGGAGCTCCAGCAACGTTGATCCGCCGCTGAGCAAGCTTCTTAAGCTCCGAGCCCAGGTCGGATTCCGAGTGGCGACCCTTTGGGATCTTAGTTTTCTTCTTTGCTTTGAGCGGTTTGTCCTCATCGAACTCTTCTATGGCGGCGGAGTCCAGGGATTGAGAGGCGACTGGCAGTGACACGGGGGATTCCATAACCGCATCGGGGGTCTCTTCGGCAGGCTCCGTCATTGTTGGTTCTTCTTAGTCTCTATTTGCTTAAAAGATTGTTTTGATTTGTTGCAAATTATGCAGGTAGACCACCGCTCCGAAATCTGGTTCAATTCTATAAACAACTTTTTCGGAACTAGTTCATAAGTGAACTCGAATTCTAATCTCATCAGGGTGGCTCGATATTTATACTTGCTTTTGTTTGAAAATATAATTATTTTAATGATTTAACATTATTGTTCTAGCAAATAATAACAAAAGAGGTTAATTGGTTAAAAAAATATGTAATACATATTTCATTTCAGAAAGGTCGAAAATAGTTTTTTAATTACTTTTTTTGTTCTACCATATTATAGGTATCATTTTGTTAGCAATTCAGTAGAAAATCCTTTCTGACCAAGTTCTTTGAAATAGCTCTTTCTTACTTCGGAGAACATGTGTTGTTTTAATTTCATTTTTATATTTTATTTTTAGTCATACAAATGCAACAATGCGCAGTCTCAAAATATAGTGCGTAATTAGAGGGAAATGACTCATTGTATTTCATTTAAAGACCCACCATCTACGAGGAAATGGCGTCAGAAAATATGGCGTGATGTAGAAAAATGGCGTGATTAACAATTTTTTCAAACGCATTGTACAAAGTAAAGATTTTTTCTAGAATGAACGGAGTAAACAAAAACAAATAGTAGTTGTGGTTTGGTTTGGTTTATATTTTGAATATATTATTTTTTTTTTTCTCGAATGTTTTCGCAAATTCTTTGAGCACAATACAATCAAACGTAAGCCTATGTGGTTAGAGATTGTTAAACATAAATGGAAACCTACAGCTAAACTTAGCGCCTCAATTACAATATCATATATAAAGCCTTCGATTAAGATTGTATTTACAGCCTATCAACTAAGACACTTAAACAAACGGCGGCCGGCCATACTTAACAATACAAGAGAGACAGAACTAAGTTTTCGGCTGGGAAAACTTAAATCAAACTGGGGAACAGCTCGTCGAAGTTACTCTCCCACGAGAAATCCTCCTCGTCCGTGGGCAACGTCAAGGCCGAGGACATGGGTGAGCCCAGTATGGACTCGTAGCCATGATCCGAGGTGGCCGAGTGGAGGGACAATGCGGGTGATTTGGCCAGCGGGGAGATCGCCTTGACGCGCGGACGGAGGAACCGCTCGATGGGATCGAAGCTGCTCTCGTCGTCCGAATCGTCGGTGGCGTTCAACACGTTGAGGTAGACCTGTGACGGAGACGTCGCTGGCGGCGGACACTTCATGATAACGTCCGTCGCGTCGTCGCCAGCGGTGACGCCATCACAGTAGATCTCCTCAACGGCCTCATTCACCGGCACCGCATCGCCGTCCATCACGATGGTGATCGAATTCGTCTTGGCATCGTAGGTGCCGTACACTGTGTCTGGAGTGGCTTGTAGTTGAGGGGCGGCCGCTGTCGCTTTGATTGTGGCTATCGTTGAGGCTGGCGCTCCTGTCGCCTGCTGTGGGTTTCCATTCATCTCCAACATCTGCACATTTATGCTGACCGTTTGCTGGTGCTCCTCCGGTTGCTGTTCCTCCTTCAGGCCATCACCTCTATGCCCGCCGGATTCCAGGCGCTCTGCTGCGGTCCCCACCACTGGTCCAAGCAGTCGCTCTGCGTTGCCTGAATCTTCGGCAGCAGCTGGGCTGCTCGCTCCAGCGCCTGTTTCCAGGTCTGTTGTGATATCTGCGAGCAGACTTTCGGCCAACTCTTCGAGGCGCTTGACGTCGAACTCTTCGTCGTCGCCAAGCAGGTCTTGTAGAGAAGGCAGAGGGCCACAACCTTCCAGAGTGAGGCAAGGCTCTTGCTGCTCTTCAGCTGCTCCGCCAGCGGACGCGCTGACGACTGTGTGTCCACCTGTTGTATACCCTGCGGCAGAGGGTCAGCTTTGGATGCTGCAGATCCAAGGTGTGTGGACGCACAGCCCTCAGCGCCTGCGATGGCGATGGATTGGCTGATGCTTCTGGTGTTGTGCTGCTGTTGTTGCCTCAGTTCGGCGAGTTCCTGGCGCAGGAGCTCCAGCTCCGAGTCCAGCTTGTGGTTCTTGGCCAGCAGTGACTCGTTGATGGCCTGTAGGCTGTCGCATTTATTTTGTAGTATTTCTGTCTTATCAGTGAGTTCCTTGATTTCGTAGTCCATCTCCTCCATGCGCGCCTTCTTGCGGTCGCGCGATGTCTGGGCGGCCACTCGGTTCTTTAGCTTCCTGCGAATTGAATGGATTTAGTAAGGCTAACACTTTGATAAGGGATCAATGAACTCACTTTCTCTGCACTTTCTCCTCCCATGTCAGATGGTCTAGGCGACGCTTCTTGGCCTTGGGCGGCGAGGCAGCCAGGCTGTCGTCCTCCATGTTGGTTGAGGATGCGTATCCCGAGCTCGAGGGCGTCGGCGAGGCGGAGGGCGTGGTCGCCGCCGCCTTTAGCAGCGCCGCTGTCAAGGGGGCGGGGCGCAGTTTGGGCAGATTATTCGATGTGATTGATGTCCGCGGCACGGCTATGAGCACTGTATTCGCTGTGGGGGCCATGGCTAACTGATTGGGGCTAAATCAAAAACTGCTGCGTGTGCTGGGTCAATTGTGAAAAGCGCTTTCCACTTAGATTTGCATCGCTTTTCCGTGCTTTAACTTGTGTTGATCTTAGGTCGTCTCATGGGCTTCGACTGCGCTTCTCGGACGCTCTGCGGGTTTGGACCTCTTCATCGCCTCCGACTCGGGGTTTTCTGGCTCGGTCTCACGCAATTTTCTCATCCACCTTTGCAATAGTGACCAACTGGTTTTCCTTTCTGCTGACGTGTTCTTTTCCGAATGGCTGTGAAAAGATGACGTGTTTTCTGGTGGTGGGTCTAGGGCTGGAAAAGCGCCGATGACCAATCGATAACAACGATGTTTAATAAGAACCATAAATCATATATTAAAAATATAAATTCGGAAAATTTGACCTTACAATTCATTTTTACCAATCGCTTTAAATTTAATAAGACTTTCCAAACCAAGCTTTACACATAAAATAGGGCTTTTTTTAATTTCAAAATTCACTATCTTTTTGTAATTTTCAAATAGTTCTAAATACCGATAGTGTCCACCACTGGACTAGAGTGTGACCACCTAGTTCAAAATGCGGAACTGTGGAAACGGGAGATAAAATTTCAAAAAGTACGCGCAAAAAAATTATTTCCTAAAATATAAATTTATTTGCAAAGACAAAATTTGTTAAAGCATTTCTCATTACGCAGGATTTTGTACATATAAGCGACATATTTTTTGGTCCGCAGCTAAAACATAGTCTGTTGGGGTTTTTTGCCCTTCTCCCTTTCGGCTTGGGCCAATTCCTCTTTGATAACCTCGGCGATTTCATAAATTTTTGGTTTGTGCTGGGGATTTAAAATCACAATTAAAAGTATAACTTGGAAATAGAGTGCCTCACCCTGAGTTGATTGATATAGAAGGTAAAGGGAATATTTCCAGTGATAGGATCAATGGCCACCGGCCACATAGCATCCAGTTCCTCTTGGGTAAAGGGTTCGCCTTCCTCTGCCATCAGTTTCCCAAAGTACTCCTTGGTAAGATACTTTTTGTTCTCTGGATCTAGGATCTCAAAGGCCTCCAGAAGTTTTTCAGACGAAGCTGGTTCCATTCTGAGGAATATAGAAAATAAGCTACAAGTTTCCTTTTTATGTCTTTATAACTATATCTAACTGGCGGTCCATAAGCAGTTGGGAGACGTGGGCTATAAACTTGAGGATATGGGTCTCCCCTGGGTAATCCGTGGACTCGGTGGCCTTGACTACTTCTTCAACCTCCTTCTCAGTGGGCACGCAGCCCAAAAACCTGAGGACGTTGCCCACATTCCGGGTATCAATATACTTATCGCCATGCGTATCAAAAATGCAAAATGCCTCCGAAATCTGAGCCTCAAGTTCGTTATTTAGGGTAACTATTGAAGGTGGGTTGCTTATGACCAGAAAACGGGGTCCATTCTATACACCAATTCTTACCACCAACTTCCATGGCGGTTATAAGATTTAATAGCTATTTAATTTAGGTGATACTTCCAAATGGTTTTCACTGATAATTTTTAATTTACTTTTAATTTTTACCGAGCGTTACACGTACTACAACTGAAAGAAATCGAAGGGCTTACTGTTTTCATGCTGAATTTGAAAATTACGATAGCTAATAGAAGAAGGCGCCAAATATCTGTTATCGGGTGCATGGTCACACAACCGTGGGGAATTTAACCGATAGGCGACAGTCGATAACTGCCTGGCATACAACCGTGTTGAGCGTCGCGTTATTTTGTTTTCTGTTTTGTTTTTCGTTTCGTGTTTTTAGTTTACTTCCTGTTCATTTCTAAGTTTATTTGTGACAATCGTTAAATAAGAGGTTTATCTACAACGAACTAGTGAAATTGCACGCCAATCCACTGCCCTTTGAAGGACAACGAAGAGTGCATTTAAATGTTGCTGTCGGTGTGCAGTTGCCTCTGTGTGTGTGTGAGCCAGCAGCAACAGGTTTTCCAACTCAACTCAGCGCGCCACCTCAGTTTTCATTTGTTTTCGATATTCCGTGGTGTTCGGTTCGCGTTGCGGGAAAATCGAATTGCAATTTAATGCAACGTTCGGTGGAAAACGAGACGAGCCATTAGTTGGCAACCCGTTTTCTTATATTCGGCATCGCAGGTGTGTAACGTCGCTCGGCTATTCCAACGGGTTTTCCAGGAGGTTTTTGGCCCATAACAAGTTAAAACTTGGCCATAATATCACAGTTAACAAGTGCCACCGCATCTCTGTGCTGACAAGTGTATGTGTGTGTTTGAAATACGCGTTTTCGAAGAAAAACCTCAACTCAAAACACGTAAAAATCGAAATGAAAATGGAAAGTGTTCGACGACGATCACGATCATCAGTTTAGGCCTGTTTTTGAGCCAGATAAATAAACAAACCAAACCAAACGGCAACAAAAACAAGGTGCGAATTTTGAAAGTGACTGAAAATTGTTTTTATCATCATTATCCTCATTGACATTTTTCCAATATTTGCCCATGGCATTGACCACCACTCGATAGAAAGTTTATCTCTGATCGATGGCAATTAGCGAGGCGTGCTTGAAAAGATAAATATTTGTTAATGTTTCTGCCACTCGACTGTTGAAAGCTGACCAGCGCGATTGGTTTTAAATTGGCTTAAAGTTTTTTCGATATTCGATATACTGATTTGTTATTTCAATATTTTTGAAAAAGTCTTTGTTTATCATAAAATTAAAAATGAATTTGCGTCATATCATAAATAATAGTAATAATTGTTCGTCGGATTATGTATGAAATCATTTCTTAAGCCTCCTCTTTCTGGCGAATCTGAGTGGTTAAAAATTTGTTGTAATTAACTAGAATGAATTATAATATTATGAAATAAATGTGTTACCAGTACAGTATCGCTAGATATTAGACGATAAAAAATGATTTCAAGTATAATCCTACATGAATAAAGTCCCTAACTGCAGTTCTCAAATAATATCTGAAGATTTCGGTTTCCTAATGAATAAATTTAGTGAATTTTTAAATATTTTCTTTGGCCCTATGGGGTTTTTAATACCTTAAATAATTACTATTTCTTATTTTTGGCATAGAATACATGATTTTGGAAATATTCTCAAGTGTCTATATTTTTGTGAGTGGTAATTACATGATCTAAAGACTTAAAATATGTTTTGAAACACATTTTAATGTTCCTGAAATTTAATGAAAAATATATTAAACAAGTGTAAAGCACTTCTTGAAAAAGTGCCATTAAACGGTTTTGCATCTCCATCCAACTGCACCTAACTCACTTCGCAGAAAACCTCAGACGGCCATAAACGCTGATGATGAATTTTCCCCATGGAGTGAAATTGTGGGCCTAACTATACGGTTTTCACTTGGTTTGCACTCGCCGCTCCCCTTGTTGATTGCCTCTCGCTATTTCGCTGGTCGTGCGCCGCCTGGTCTTCGAAAGTGGCCCGCTCCTCTTTCCTTTCCTACCTTACCTTAACTTACTTTCCTATCCGCTCCTTCCGCGGCTTTTCTCTAATGCTCCGTGCAGTTTTCGCTGTCCACCAAACGACAGGTGGCTGGGCACATTTGCGGTCCGCAAAAGGTCTCGGTTTTAGGTATCTTTGTGGCAAGTGGAACCACCACCATCGGTACCAGCAGAAGCAGATCGTTCCTGTTACGTGTTCGTACAGAGAAAGAAAAGATCTCTTGCTATCCTTAGATATAAACTAAAATATTAAAAATACTTATTTTGAATCAAACCACGATAAAAGCTGACATATGAAATCGAAACTTTTTAACTAAGTAGGTTCTTAAGTTCCTAAAAGGATATGTGCATTTTGAGAAACGGTTTCTGTAATTGCAAACCCTTTCAAAAATTATTTTCTATTTTATTCGTTCGCTTACTTTTCCTTTTTTTTTAAGAACTTTCCTGATTGTGAACCTTATTTACCTTATTTTCATCATACCTTATTATAATGCTATGTCTATACCTTGGTAGATAGTGACCTATGAAGAATAGTCTTTTCTCATACCTTTCCTAATTTAAAATAATAGATTTTTTAATCCAATACAATATCTACGTATTTAACATTAATTTAACGGATAAACCAATACCATTTGACACCCTTTAAATCTATATATGGGTAAAATAAGATCACTAATCCTCATGAAACTACAAAATTGATCAAAATAAAATTGGCTATAACTTTTAGAGCCTTTTATTATGATTGGATACCATTATTTTCCCTTTGTGTAGTTGTGGGGGTTGCCTTTCGGTTTTTAGTTTTCAGTTTTCGGTTTTCTGGCGATCTGGTGGCATGCTCTGAAAAACTCGTTTCTCGCCGCTGTTGTTTTGTTTGTCGTTCTGGAATTCTTGGTTGGCGGTGCCCGCAGCTCTTTTGGTGCCTCACCCGCGCTCCTTCTGCCCTCCATCGACTCCTCCATCGTCGATCGTCTTCTGGTTTTTTTTCTCATTGGAGTAAATTTTTCGCTTGAGGAATTTTATGTTGCTGCCGTGTTTGATGCCCCTTTTTTCGCACAGTTAATTTTCTTATTCTTTTCCCATCCCCTCGCTCATAATTGTGTGTCGTGAGTCAACATTTTCATATTTCTCTCGGGGAAACCATCACTTCGATTAAATATTTATAAATACATATTTAAAAGTAGCGAGAGTTGGGAAAATTGGTTCAATCTCCTACTAAAACGAATACAGTATTTAAACCAGTTCACTCAAAAGTTTAACTACAACAAATTAAACAAAGAAAGTTTATTATATATAAATCCAAATAAAGTGAGCTGTTTTTCGTTTTTATAACCCACTTGAAGACCGCAAAAAATGGCTTTAACTGGCGAAAATTTAAGAAAAACTTTGCCATGGAATGCACAGAAATATAATTATAATTATACGTCTGTCATGGGAAAGTCGAAGCAAACCTCTGTAAAATTGCAATGTCAACAATGGTCTGAGGAGGGGGGATTCGGGATTGGCGAGTGACTAGCCTAACTGAACAATCTGTTGATTGGCACCACTTGGAACTGCAGTCTGGAACAATGTCCGCCGAACAATGAGCTTGTCTGGCCTGGAGCTGTCCAACTGGATAGTTGGCTCTGGGACTGCGGGACTTGGCTTGGAGGAGGAGGAGGTCGAAATGGGGGTCCAAACAATGTTAGATATTCAAAGTATCTGACGATGATTTTAAAGCATCTTAGGCGACGCAGTTTAAATTGCGAAGATAGTTGAAGGCCGAAACAGAGGAGTGTCTTAGATCTTTAATAGATTGTGGTTGTCGGGAGTTTTAGTTTTAATGGACACTAAAATCCTAAGATTTGTATCTATAAAAAAACATTGAAATTGTGCTATTGTATCTTTGCTTTCTTAAAAATGTAAACCATATAAACGCGAAATATTTTGTTTTATGCAAACATTTTTAATATATTTTTATTTTTCTTCATTTTGAGCCAAGTTTTTGTGTTTAAAAAAGAAATCATAAATCTTTGTTATCTCAAGATATATACAATTGGTTACCACCGTAATAAAGTTATAAAACATGAAAAATCTTTCTCATGCAAAATATTTAATGTTGTCTAATCTTTAAATTATAAAAATATTATTAGATGGCTTTTAAATATTAACTTTTCTGGTTAAATAATAATTTAACCAGATAATTTTTCGCAAAATAAATTAGCACGCTGCAAATTTAACAATAGCGTTGTTTATAAGTTTATTATTGCAGTTATAACTATTCTATTGTTTATATACATGGTAATTGTTCATGGGTGTTACCTTGCATATTGCTAATTAATGGTTTTCAATTTATAAAAAACTTTATAAAACTGATAAGATATGAAAACTTAAAAAACAACTCTCTTTAACATGCTAAAAATATTATTTACCTGGTTAATAAATAATATTTCCTGCTCAAAGTCCAGCTATTTTTTTCCAAAATAAATTACCATGTTGCACATCCAACAATAGCGTCTTTCTTAGTTTATTACTGTGGTTATAACTATTCCATTGTTTATATAAACGGTAATTGTTTATATTACTTTGCATATTGCTAATTAATGGTTTCTCTGTTGATTGTTCTGTTTTGCAGCTTCTCCCAACCGGAATGGAAGCTCAATGACAAATGAATTAATAAAACGGCAAAATGAAGAAGCGTTCAAAGTTTATCTAAACATTCCAGCAAACAAGCGAAACCAAAACAACAATAAACAGAAAAAAAGTGTTAAATAACGATACTCGAATGCAATGGAAGGAAAAAACGCTAGTTGTTGTTAAATTGTATGAACAATATATCAATTGTGTGAGGGAGCGTGATAGAAGCTAAAGATACGAACCGGCTTAAAATGCCAATAATCACGGCCACGACAACGGCGACAGCCGGCGGAGGAGCAGGTGTGGCAGCCAGGGGCGTGGTCACCGCCAAGTCGCCCACCGATTACCTAATGCTCCAGCAGCAACAGCAGCAGCAGCAACATCAACAGCAGCAACAGCACTTCGGCAATCACTTCTATCAACAGCAGCAGCCGCAACAGTTGGCGCCTCTGAATGCTTCCCACCAACACCAGCACTCCCATCCACATCCACATCCAC